AGTGTTAATTGTCCCATTTTCAATAATTAAAACAACCGACATGTACTCTCGTTAGACTCTTAGGAGAGGTATACATCTCCTTAGAAATACAGACTTTTTGACAGAAAAGTGGGGATCCGAGGATCGCTTAAAATTCGATTTTCCCAGGAAATGGGAGGACATGATAATCGCTTAAAACCCCATTTCCTTAGGCATGCATCTCTTTACAAAGAGTCTAACAAGTGTTGCATTGAATTTCCTATAAGCTATTGTTATTTGACAAAATTAAATAACCAATGAAATAGAGAGCTTACCAATCCACCATAAATTATCAACAAGCTTCCTCCGCTTGAAATGATGGTTCCAATTGCTCTTGAAGTGTCGTATGCACCACCTTTGGGACCACTTTCGGGCTGGATCCAAACCTAAGATGGCAGCTCTGCTGCCAGCGTGTCGAACGGAGATGATTGTCAAGTTAGTTCTCCTGTTGACGTGGAGCTGAATTTTGTCGAAAAAACCATCCATAAATATCAACATTCTCACCCTCAACAATGGTAAAGGCTAAAAGAAATACTTTTTTGTTTGCATTCGCCCCACTGGCAATCAGGAGAGTGCCCTTGTACTTGACGTAAGGAATGTTCCATCCACTTGGATCATAGGGACACATAAGCCAAAACCATCAATAGATGGCTTGAATGCCCAAAAAAGACGTTTGAATGGCGTTTGTTACCGGCCTCTGGCGGCTATATCTCTTCATCTTGGTATCGAGGGGAGAAAACAGTGCCAGGGTTAGACTCCTCCAATGCCAAAATCAACCTGGCAAGGAATGCATATGATTCTTCCCAGTAACCAAAGACGGCGGCCAGAGCTTTCTGCTTTTCATGCCACGCCTTCTTATAGTTAATAATATAACCATAACGACTAGAAATGTCAGCAATTATGACTTTCACCTTCAGGTCAGGATCTTGCTCAATTAGATGCTTGATAGTCGCGACAACAACCCTGGATTTCAACTGTTGATGGCCTTGGGATGTTATGGATGACACACATGCGTGTGTGTTCACCGCACGGGATATGACACAATGGCCGACTCTCTTGCTGTTGATGGCCCGAATCCTAGCATTGCATCCCTCGTGTTGATTACGGCATTTGACTGATATGTTCCCGATTGGGACGATTCATTGTTCTCCATTAATCGTTGAAGAATCAATGTTAACCCATAAAATATGTCCAAGAGTTTTTGACGAATTCAGGTACCAATTTGGGATGAGTGAAACTTCTTATTGGCCTGGTGAAAATTTGACTTCTTGGGCTTGTTTTGAAGAGGAAGAGTTCTTCTTTCCCTTGAAGTGCTTTGCAGCTCGAAAAGTTGGTCAGAATGCTATTTTCCAAGTCAATCAAGTTGCTACCTAAACACGGCGAAAACTGCCAAAATTGACCAAGGCTGAAACTGAGTTCGTGGAGCCAACTTTGAGCTTCCATTCGACGGATCGAGGGTCAAGTTGGGAGGCTTGCATCACATGAAAGTGTGCTATTTTTATTACAACATCGTGGCATTGGCTGAAGGGAAGGAAGCTTGGTTGCCTTTGAACAAAAGCTCCAAAGATCGTTCGAAGAAACGTTTTCTGTCTTTGGAGAAACGTAGAATTCGAATCCTTGTGTAGAGTCTGGTTTTTAGTCCTTTTGTGTTTAGATTTTTGTCTTTGTTGTTTCTCTATATAGGGGCCTTTCAATTCACAATTGTAATCAGTTTTGGACGTCAATTGAATACAAACTACAAGTTTGGTTCACGAGCTCTTGCTTGTGTTTGAGAGTAGCTAGAACGAGTTCTAGGCTCTCGTTGCTATATCGATCAAGCCATCCATTCTTGATCGTGGCTAGCCTCAACTTGATTCTTTTCAAGCCTTCGTCCTGTGTGTACGATTGCACGAGAGAGCTATACTGCCAACTACTCCATTCATACCCTATTTGCGTATGAGATTCGAGTTGGATTTCATCCCCAATTCTCGTTGTGCGACTCTGAATCAAAACCACCCATATAAAGGGTTATCAAGTGGCATCACGAGGCTCTTTCAAAATAGTGACCAGAACGGAGGAATACCGCGCGGCAACGGCGCCCTGGACAAGGTAGAAAGGGCCTGTGTCCCATGACCCTGCTTCTGTGCTCATGTAACAAACGAAGAAGAAGAAGTAGGCAGAGATAGTGGGGCAGACATTTAGCATGTAAGAATTGCTGGATCACATAGAGTAGAGGGTTCAGGCTCGAATCCAAGAACCATAAGGGAAATTTAAACAAAATATTGACCGAAAATTTGAGACTATTTTCCGAACAGGGGAAATCCTCGACGGAGAAGATGCAACAGGCAATCCAGCGTTACTGGATAGAATCCAGGAACTTGAACGATGTCTAGTCGTAGTAGAACCCCTCAATGAATGCCAAGGTCGGGATCGACGAGACCATCACGAAGCCGAGCTAGTGATTCCTCCCGGAGTCAAGCTAGCCGTGCCAGCGTTCCAAGGAACGTCGAATGCTGCAACTTACCTAGATTGGGAACGGAAAGTGATTTCTTTTTTCAATGTGGACGATATACAGATCAGCAGAAAATAGCCTTGGCTACCTTCGAGTTTAGTGATTATGCTGCCCAATGGTGGGAGCAATTACAACTTCGTCATCGACGAAATACGCAAGCTCCGGTGACTACTTGGGATGAACTGCACCGATTGATGAGGGATAGATTTGTTTATGCATATTACCAGCGATTGCTTCATGAGTCTCTGTAGGGAATTCGTCAAGGGATGAGAAACGTGGAAGTTTATTTTAGGGAATTAGAAATGTTGCTAATAAGGGCCGATGTCCAAGAAGACCGGGAAGCCACAATGGCGCGTTTCCTTCGCGGTCTAAATCGTGAAATCAGACAAGAGGTTGAACTTCGACCCTTTGTGGATTTGGAAGAAGCTTTACATCTCGCGCTCAAAATCAAAAGGCAGCAGAAAGCATCGAGCCGACGTTTTGCTCCGACCTATAAGACGGCGACCGAGACTAAACCTGACCTCACTCCACAACCAACTTGTCTTGATTCCAACAAGTCGGCGCCAAGGAACACGAATACCTCTTCTGGCGAGCACTCTGGGGGAATCCAATGTTTCAAATGCCACGGGCGAGGGCAGAAAGCAAGTCAGTGCCCTACTTCGAAGACTCTGATTCTCAGAGACGGCGAGTATGTCCCCAACGACGAGTGATCAGACTCCAATGACGAAGAGAAGTTTGATGAGGAGATCATTATGGAAGCTGCAGCCCCGCCAGGAAAATTGAGTTGTTGTGTCAGTAGAAGAGCTCTTACCATGGAAGCTCTGTCGGATGTGGAGCAGAGGACCAATTTATTCCATTCCCGGTGTACAACCAATGGTGAGGTGCTATCGATATTCATTGACGGAGGACACTGTACTAACGTTGTCAGCTCCGACGTGATCAAAAAGCTTAGGTTAAGCACTACACGTCATCCAGAGCCCTATAGTTGGTCACCTACTGGTTAGGCCCGTTCTCGTTAGCCACTAGTTTGAACTATTGTTAAATATATCCAGCCCATGCCACATTAGTTTCATGTCGACCAATTAGAATCTATGTCACTGGTGACACACTTTTTATAGGGGCACCGTAGTATTGGCCATAAAACAAACATGCAAAAATAAATACTAGTGTTGTGTTTGAAGCAAATTTTGAACACAAGGCCTTTCTGTACGTTGTCCACAAAAAAAGATTCCACCATTCCAGATCCTATTTTTTGAGTAACATACAAGATTTTATATGTGTTATATGAAAATTATAATTACATAAGAAAAGCAAAACACTCACCCCAATCAGTAATTATCACGAGTTCAAGCTATTTTCGGAGACAATTTCTACAACCGCCTCAATTTATCATTATGCTCTAACTTTCCAAACCACAATTCCCACTTCCCACAGCCTCCCCAAATATTGTGTCATTCAGTGGCGGAGCCACGTTGAGCACAGGATGGGCTATAGCCTCACTCAACTTTCGAAAATGGGTAAATTTACTTGGAAAATGTGTAACAAATTCTAAAAGTAGACTAGTTGGTAAGCCACTAGCCCTCCCTTCCCAATAACCATGGTTCAAACCACTCAAGTGTATAGTTTTTAGCCTCCCCTCGTTCAAATTTCTGGCTCCGCCACTGGTGCCGCTCTTAGCTTGATTTGCTGATTTCCATTCCCTCAACGTAGGCGGAAACTCCTAGCAGCCATCTCCACTCTCGTCACACCCGAATCCCAATCCTTGTTGATTTTGACATGGAAATGGTGTCAAAACTTGCTACCTTTTTTTTATGTTATTAAGTTCTCCAAAGGTAATATCTTGCACATTGATCTTCATTAACTAGATACTTATATTTGATATAAAGACAACTGAAAAGTTTGCAGGGAATTATTGAGCTTTTTAGGAAGATGCATGGTTGTGTCAAGAAAGCATATGGTGTTTCCATTGGTGTACGTGCTGCTAAAATTGACGTTATTGCTACTTGACGTCACTCCAAGTGTTGAAAGAACATTTTCTACTATGAACTACGCAAAAAAACACACTTCGGAATCAGATGAGTCATGAACAATATTTAGATAGGGTATATTGAGAGTGGCATCCTTATATTTCAGATGATAAATGCTTTTTAAAATACAAAATCACATCGTAGATATTGTAAAACAATAATAAAAGCTGTGTTGCTATTTTACCTTAATCACATCGTGGATGTTGTAAAAATCCCGGCTACGCACTGAATTAATATTCGCAACTTTGGTATTGTTGCCAACCGCATTATTAATTTTCTCTAGAAATGGTGGATCTTAATACAAATACTTTAGTACAGAAAGGAATGAGGATAGTATTAGCTTTCGGTTGTGTGTCTTATATAAGAGGGGTGAAAATTACATTGAGATATTTAGCATATTCTGCACTGCAAAGTGTAAACAGGATTGAGGTAGAGCCCGCCTAAGATAAGAATAAGAGTAAGAGTCATGAGTCAATGACCCAATGTTGGCCATCCGTTCGGACTTGAAGTCGATTGAGTTTAGCAAACAGATTTACGGCCCTCCACACCCCTCTGTTATCCGCCACGGTAAAATAATCGTGGCCGAAAATGACCCCGCCGGGTCGCAAGATCCGGTAGGCCCGGTTGACATCGGCCCACGCGGAGTTGAAATCATGGCCCGCATCCACCTCGATGAGATCCGCCTGCACCCCCCACTCGCACAGCTTCTGGAGCGCCGACCCGGAAGAAAACGGGACGGGCAGGACCGACCCGGTGGCGTTGCTGTACACCGCGTTCTGCATGAACTGGTACAGCAGCATGACGTCGCCGTTCACGTACCTCACGAACCCGAACTTGTCGCCGCGAAACCCGGGCCAGCCCCGGAAGTCGTCCACGCAGAGGATGACCGCGTCCAGCCCGAGTCTCCGAGTCAGCTCGGCCATGTGGATCGACGACGCCCCCAGAAAGGTCCCCACCTCGACGATCACCCGGGGCCTCACTTTCCGGATCAGGTTCGCGAATACGGCGCCGTACGATCCCCACCCTCGGATCGTCTTCTTCCGGAGGAGGCCCGACACGTGCGGCGGCGGGAAGCCTTGGAACGGCGACGTCCCGTCGTACACTCGGTCCAGAACTATCTGCCGGACGGCTTCCGGTGGGACCCGGCCGGCGCAGCGAGTGGTGACCCGGAATTCCTTGATCATCGTGCTAGCAGTAATAGTAGGAGTAGTCCTAATTTCGCTGGTGTCGGCCATTCTGGGTTGTGGAAAGAACTCCCCTGCTGCAGCGCCGGCGGGTGGTAGTGGAGATACCAACGACGGTTGACGTGGAGAGCCACCGTGGCCGGAGGAGGAAGCGGAGAAGTAGCCGAAGAGGTAGGCTAGCAGGATAAGGAGGAAGTAGCCTGCGGAGGAGTTGAGGAATTTCAACGCGACGAGTCTGGACTTCCTTAGCATGGGGAGAAGACTGTGCAGCTCGTCTTTCATTCTTCTTTTTTCTGTTATTGGCTTCTGGTAGAGAGTAAGGTTTTGACGGAAAAGCTGATGCAAGAAGGAGGAGGTTTTGATCCAAGTGAAAAGGAAGGAAGGAGTTAGTTGAGAGTTGAGTATGGAATTAGTTGGTTGATTAATTGGGAAACAAGAAGGACGGACGACGAGACAGGGGAAGGAATTAGACGAGAATGCAAAGAGTGTGGAAGGAAGGAGTTGGAAAATTAATTTATTTATAATAAAAAGTCAAGTTTGATCGAGGAGTAGTCTAAGTAAGCTTTTGAGAACAAACTCACAATGTTCAGTAGCCACTTCATTTTAATTAGTAGGATGGTATGAAACAACTTATTATGGTGTGTATTATGACTAAGTGAAATGTTCTGTTTTTTATTATGTTAGCAAATACTTAACATGTGTTCTTAATTCCCAAATTACCACATTTTACCACATGGTATGGCAATGTAGAATCAGTTAACCACACAGAACTTCCAAACTACCACACTATACCATATGGTATGGCATGGTAAAATCAAACTACCACACTATACCACATGGTATGGCATGGTAAAATCAAATTACCACACTATACCATATGGTATGGCATGGTAAAATCAAATTACCACACTATACCATATGGTATGGCATGGTAAAATCAATTATAACACAGAACCCTCACATTTAACTTCCAAATTACCACATTTTACCACATGGTAATGCACTGTAAAATCAATTACCACACAGGAAAACACATGCCACTTCCAAAATATCATATTTTACCACATGGTATGACATGGTAAAAATAAATTACAACATTATACCATATGGTATGGCAAATGTAAACTCAATTATCACACAGAACTTCCAAACTACCACACTATACCACATGGTATGGCATGGTAAAATCAATTATAAAACAGAACCTTCACATTCAACTTCCAAAATAGCACATTTTACCACCTGGTTTGACATGATAAAATCAAATTACCACATTATACCACATGGTATGACATTGTAAAATTAATTCAACAAGACAAGGATTGGTCTTTTTGTTTTATAGAATGAATAGGAGGAATAAGGTGGTTTGCTGGCGGCGTAAGGTTCACTGGCGGCATAAGGTTCAAAGTCGAGGTTGGATTGGGCAACGATGAAGTTCGCCGGAGAAGGAGTGTGATATCGAGGAAGACGAACCTCTGGTGTGCCTTTTCCTTCGATTTCTCTGTTCCGAGAAAAAAGCAACTGAAAAAAAGCGGAGGCTCTTCTGTCCGTTTGGTCACCTACTAGTTAGGCCCGTTCTCATTAGCCACTAGTTTGAACTATTCTTAAATATATCCAGCCCATGCCACATTAGTTTCATGTCGACCAATTAGAATCTGTGTCACTGGTGACGCATTTTTTATAGTGGCACCGTAATATTGGCCATAAAACAAACATGCAAAAATTACTAGTGTTGCGTTTGAAGCAAATTTTGAACACAATGCCTTTTTGTACGTTGTCCACACTACAAGAAAAATGGTTTTTAGCGGCAGAAATTTGCGGCACATAAAATAATTGCTTCCTAAAATATGTTATAGGAGACTATTATATTTTTTGCCTCCAAAAATAAAATTATGTGCTTCTAAAATTCTTATATTTTGATATTAGCTTTAAATTAATTGAAATAATACATATAGTGGCACATTTGTTCTAACCGTCACGTAAAGTTTTGCCCCCTTATCTATAGAAAAATGAATTTCATTATTATATTCATATTTATAACTTTTGGAGGCAGAAAATTATTTGCTGCTATATAAATATTTTTAGAGGCTAAAATAAGAGCGGATATTGCTTCTTAAAATTAATTAATATCAAATAAAATCTTTCACAACAAATATGAAATGTGCCGACGATGATAATTCAAAGACCAACAATTAAGATTGTCTCCGTAGATAAACATGTGACTCCAATTATAAAATATATTTATTGTAATTATTTTGGAGATTAAAATGCAGTATTCAAAAAATCTGTGAAATAAATTAATTAGCAACTAATTGAATGAAAAAAAATGAAATAAATAAAGGAAAACAAGTTGGATGTAAAATAAATAAAAAATAAACGATTGAATTATTAAACGAGCTGGGCGAGTGGGCAATTAAAAAACCTAATTAGGTTTCTCTCCATCTCTGTTCCAACTCGATATTCTCTCAAGTCTCAAGTTCTCAATTACTAGCTAGGGTTCAAAAAGGGGATTTCCCCCGGAATCCCCCTTCCTCCTCCTCATCTCCGCGTTCATCCTCTCTGGTGAAGTCAAGTTCATCATCTTCCCCTTTGGTCCCGTTGTCACGATCACAAAAATTTCCGTCCAAGTTCCAACCTCTCTCTATCACCTACTCAACCTCAACCCAACAATCAGCCTTCAATCACTGGTCAGTATCCCTGTTCGCTTGTACCGCTCTCTTTAATGGGTTTTTATGGGGTTACTAGTAATGAATTGCATATTTGAGATTGAGATTATAGTATTCGCTAAGTGAGCCATTAGACTTTTGTATTGTTGATTAGTTGCTTGTGGTTTGCATATTTTGACATTTTGCATAGTGGAATTTTGCCCCTGTTCTTTTGGATTGTGGATTTGTGGTGTACATATTAGGAAGCTTTTGTGTTGTGTTAGTGGGCATGTGTCCGCAATCTTGGTTCCAACTTGTTGGGAAACTACATCTGCTTGTTCCGTCAATGAGTTTCTCATTTTTGTGTACATTCTGACTTCCTACTTCAAGTAAGAGGATGTTTTTTTTTGTTTCTGCAGATGGGGTTATGGACTTGCTTTTCCATTATTTTGTTGTTAAGATACTGCTTGATTGTAGAGCCTCTAATTCAATCAATTGAATACCCTTATTAGCTTTCATGATTCAATGAACGGTCGACAACCATTTTCAGGTGGAAAGAAAAGACAAATAGAACAATCACTGCTATCATTTTCAAGATGAAAGACGTACAGTTAATGCAACAAACAATAACGAAGGGAATGGAGGAGATGGAAGGATTGATCCGCTAACTGAATCATGGGTGATGACATAGTTTATAAGAAATGGGAGGATTTGCTGAAAGAAGACTGGTTGAAGATTGGTATAAAAGATACTAGAGTATCTCCTGCCGACTGGGAATAGCTGCTGAACTTTTGGAAAAGAGACAATGATGTGGTATGGCTTCTGTACTTTGTCATATCACTTCTAGTTTACTTTAATCATCTTCTTTTTAAGTAGAAATATGCTTAGTTGCATAATGGTTGATTAACCATTGAAGTGTGTTTCAGAGGTTTCGTTCTCACCCGTTTGTTTAAACTGTTGTGGGTTTAGTTTGAATGATGTAATTCTAATTTTTAGAGGCACAAAAGTATTTGACCTGTGAGCTTTGATTGAACTCATTTAGTTTCATGTCAACTAATACATTCGGTATAAAGACTAACAAATTGGGTTAGCTAGCTGGATATAGTTATATACATCAAGGTGTTTACTGGTCAAAGGTTTAAGGTAGCATTATGTATATTTAGATCATCACACATGCATGCAGTGCTAGACCTTTGCCTTGCTATTAGATTCTCAAATCCAACTTTGGTCTGAGTGGAGACACATGAAGTAATTTTCTTGTAACTAAACGATGCCGCATAGAATATAATTTCATCTCAAGAAAATGAGTTTGACAATAGTGATGGTGGATCTACTCAGTCCGACCCTTGTAGTGGGGTAATTTATTTTATCTTTTTTATTCATTTTCTTTGTTTGGTAAATTTTTTGTGTATCCTACACTAATACCATAATTAATATTCTCTAATATAGGGATTAATATATGTGTTATGGAGTCCTCACATTGATGTAGCTAGAGCAAGTGTGTGGTAGCACAAAGTATTGCCTCGTCTTTGTTCGTTAATTCCTCCATTATGGCTTGATTCATCGTTACAGTTTTTGTCAAGTATTATGCTAAGTTAAATTCCAATCTTGTTTTCAATACAGGTTGAACCAGTTAGAATACTTCTCGAGTTCTCGTGCACAATGTTGGTGATAAAGTTCAACTTAAGTATGGGCGTTATGGTATTGGTGGATAGTATATATATAGATTATAGTATATTAGCAAGTGAGAACATTGGATTTTAGCATTGTTATTCTCTTTTCATATTTATCATTGTTATTTGGTTGAACGGTTTGTAAGAAGATTTATGTTTATAATAATTGATTAAAATTTTGCTGTCATGTTATTCTTTTATTTAAATATCATAATTGTTAAGATATTGCCACATAATTTAATATTTACTATAAGAGCCTCCCATCATACATGACGAAAACAAATCCTAATTGCCAACCAATATTTGTGTCTCTAAAGATTAGAATTAAAAGCAAATACAGTCGTAGAAATAAGAATTAGAGGCTATTAATATGCCTCTAAAATAGAAAACTGTTCTGTAAAGGTTAAATTAGCGACAAAAGATTATCCATTAGGGGCACATAGATTGTATCTACGGATTGATTTCAAGGCTAGTACAATTGTCTCCAAAACGTATTATGGAAGACAATAAAATAGTAATTTAAAAGTACAATTGGCAACAAAACTATCTGTCGGTAATTCATAAATTAGAGACAAATAACATTTGCCGCTAACATCTGCCGCTAAAGACATTTAGCGGCAGCAATATTGACAACACACAATTATGTGCCGCTACAAAGCTATCGTGGCACATAAATCACTTATCGTGGCAAATAGACTTAGCCTCTAATTGTCATTTTTCTAGTAGTGCCACAAAAAAAGATTCCACCATTCCAGATCCTATTTTTTTAGTAACATACAAGATTTTATATGTGTTATATGAAAATTATAATTACATAAGAAAAGCAAAACACTCACCCCAATCAATAATTATCATGAGTTGAAGCTATTTTCAGAGCCAATTTCTACAACCGCCTCAATTTATCACCATGCTCTAACTTTCCAAACCACAATTCCCACTTCCCACAACCTCCCCAAATATTGTGCCATTCAGTGGCGGAGCCAAGTTGAGCACAGGATGGGCTATAGCCTCACACAACTTTCGAAAATGGGTAAATTTACTTGGAAAATGTGTAACAAATTCTAAAAATAGACTAGTTGGTAAGCCACTAGCCCTCCCTCACCAGTAACCATGGTTCAAACCACTCAAGTGTATAGTTTTTAGCCTCCCCTCGTTCAAATTTCTGATTCGTTGATTTGCTAATTTCCATTCCCTCAGCGTAGACGGAAACTCCTAGCAGCCATCTCCACTCTCGTCACACCCGAATCCCAATCCTTGTTGATTTTGACATGGACATGGTGTCAAAACTTGCTACCTTTTTTTATGTTAATAAGTTCTCCAAAGGTAATATCTTGCACATTGATCTTCATTAACTAGATACTTGTATTTGATATAAAGACAACTGAAAAGTTTGCAGGGAATTATTGAGCTTTTTAGGAAGATGCATGGTTGTGTCAAATATGGTGTTTCCGTTGGTGTACGGCTTCTAAAATTGACGTTATTGCTACTTGACGTCGCTCCAAGGTGTTGAAAGAACATTTTCTACTATGAACTACGCAAAAAACACACTTCGGAATCAGATGAGTCATGAACACTATTTAGGTAGGGTATATTGAGAGTGACATCCTTATATTTTAGATGATAAATGCTTTTAAAAATACAAAATCACATCGTAGATATTGTAAAACAATAATAAAAGTTGTGTTGCTATTTTACCTTAATCACATCCTGGATGTTGTAAAAATTCCGGCTACACACTGAATTAATATTCGCAACTTTGGTATTGTTGCCAACAGCATTATTAATTTTCTCTAGAAATGGTGGATCTTAATACAAATACTTTAGTACAGAAAGGAATGAGGTGTATTAGCTTTAGGTTTTGTGTCTTTTATAAGAGGGGAGAAAATTACATGGAGATATTTAGCATATTCAGGAGTCAATGACCCAATGTTGGCCATCGGTTCGGACTTGAAGTCGATTGAGTTTAGCAAACAGATTTACGGCCCTCCACACCCCTCTGTTATCCTCCACGTTAAAATAATCGTGGCCGAAAATGACCCCGCCGGGTCGCAAGATCCGGTAGGCCCGGTTGACATCGGCCCACGCGGAGTTGAAATCATGGCCCGCATCCACCTCGATGAGATCCGCCTGCACCCCCCACTCGCACAGCTTCTGGAGCGCCGACCCGGAAGAAAACGGGACGGGCAGGACCGACCCGGTGGCGTTGCTGGACACCGCGTTCTGCATGAACTGGTACAGCAGCATGACGTCGCCGTTCACGTACTTGACGAACCTGAACTTGCCGCCGCGAAACCCGGGCCAGCCGCGGAAGTCGTCGACGCAGAGGATGACCGCGTCCAGCCCGAGTCTCTGAGTCAGCTCAGCCATGTGGATCGACGACGCCCCTAGAAAGGTCCCCACCTCGACGATCACCCGGGGCCTCACTTTCCGGATCAGGTTCGCGAATACGGCGCCGTACGATCCCCACCCCCGGATCGTCTTCTCGTGGAGGAGGCCCGACACGTGCGGCGGCGGGAAGCCTTGGAACGGCGACGTCCCGTCGTACACTTGGTCCAGAACCGTCTGCCGGACCGCTTCCGGCGGGACCCGGCCGGCGCAGCGAGTGGTGACCCGGAATTCGTTGATCATCGTGCTGGCAGTCGTAGTAGGAGTAGTCCTACTTTCGCTGGTGTCGGCCATTTCGGGTAGTTGAAAGGTAGCGGCGGCGGGTGGTAGTGGAGATACTAACGGTGGTTGACGTGGAGAGCCACCGTGGCCGGAGGAAGCGGAGAAGTAGCCGAACAGGTAGGCTAGCAGGATAAGGAGGAAGTAGCCTGCGGAGGAGTTGAGGAATTTCAACGCGACGAGTCTGGACTTCCTTAGCATGGGGAGAAGACTGTGCAGCTCGTCTTTCATTCTTCCTTTTTCTGGTAGAGAGTAAGGTTTTGACTGAAAAGCTGATGCAAGAAGGAGGAGGTTTTGATCCAAGTGAAAAGGAAGGAAGGAAGGAAAGAGTTAGTTGAGAGGTGAGTATGGAATTAGTTGCTTGATTAATTGGGAAACAAGAAGGACGGACGACGAGACAGGGGAAGGAATTAGACGAGAATGCAAAGAGTGTGGAAGGAAGGAGTTGGAAAATTTATTTATAATAAAAGTCAAGTTTGAGGAGTAGTCTAGTCAAATATATACAGTGATCGACATTTATGTTGGATGCAAGTTACCCACCTCAACCTTTAAGCACTGTTGCTTAAGCTTCAAACCGGACTGGGCTTCATTTATAATTACAGATTCGATCTGCCACAATTTCCCCCTCAACAGAAATAGTTAAAGTAAACAAGGGGGCACAAAGCCATTTCGTAAGGTATAATTCTTCGATGATCAGATCCGATATATATGGATCTCCGGCCCGCACATGAAATTTCTCAAGGTATTTAGAAACTTCAACATCACGACAACTTTCTGAGTTCGCTTACTTTTCCACAACAGGACCGGATGTTGAACATAAAAGCTGAGGTCTATCTGCCATTACTCTCTGCAGCAGTTTGAGGCAGGTTGAAGGATTTCCACATCTTTCAGCTCTTCCTGTTTCATAAAATGGAAAAGAAAGCATGTTCACTTTACCACTTTTAACTTATAATGATGTTGAATGAGAGGCATCGTGATTAACATATCTCGTGTCCGAATGTTCAGAACACTTAACACTAAAAGTATCTGTTGTATCCCAAATCCGAAGCTCAATTCTTAAGCAGGAAGAAGGCGGCCACAACTAATTATCTTGTTTATATCAATCATAGGATATAATGCAATAAGACACTTACAAAAGGGGCCAATTGTACAGATAAATCAATGGAGCAAGCAAAGAATGCCTTTGACTAACATCATGAGAATAGCTTAATAGGATTACTAGCCACAGGGGTTCCAGTTTCACTAATCAAAGCGATTTGAGTGCATCTATCACCTTATTATAGTTTCATGGTTTACCGTATGGCTCATCAAAGCAACCAGACATTTTCAAGTCAAATTCAATATGAAATAGAGAAAGAAAATGCACATTCACTAGATCAGTGCTAGCTAACAGGTCGAATGTGTAAGAGCACATGCACGTACATACATAGGAAAACAAGGATGATCGATCAACAAATCGGGCCTTATAAAATTACCTTTAGGGCTCTTAAAAGTAGCTCAGACGGGAAGCCTCGGCAATAATGATCATCGATCACAAGATCGGCCCTCCTGCTGCTGCATCGATATCAAGGGTCCCAACCCAAGAGCAGCGTGGCCGTCACCAAAGGCCCTAATGTCCTATCATACCCTAATCAGCCCCATTTTCAAGGGAAATCAAGAGCTCGCCCTTTCTACCAGAAGACCGTCGTCCAGCACAATCTCTACAAGTTGGAATCCCCTGCCGCTTGCTTGGATGGTGACATAGATCTTTGTGAAAACCGACCTCACCAGAATATGCAACTCCGGCGAGAGGAAGCGAGTTATGGAGATCAATCTTGCCATACCTAGAAAAGCTGGCATGTTTCCAATCAGAATCTCGCGGTGATGCTTCTAATTAAGCGAAATCGATACTCTTTGGGGCTCCGGATCACTACAAATCCCTAGCTAGTTACGAAGCAACGAAGATTCTTTTTGCGATACTTTCAATGAGGAGAATCGATTTCCACAGGGCTCGCTAGGACGGAAGGATGAACCGAGGATGAAGAAATCACGATTTCAAAGGTGGTAGAGGCGATGCCAAGGAAGGAGTGGGCTGGGCGCGGAGGATTTGAGGTTCGGTTCGTCTCACTAACAAGTCTATTGATGGTGTCGCCATGTATCAGTGGAACATGAGAATCGATAGATGTCGACGGTGATGCGAGACGGGGTGGAGGATTTTTGGATAACAGATCTAGGGTTTAGAACATGAAATGCGATTGTGAGTTAGCAGGGGTTTCCTCCCCCTTGAAAAGAACCGTCGTATACGGTGTTCTCGGAAATATTAGTAGGGGTTTAACCAACCCTTGCTACCGAACCCTCGGTAAAGCCCTTTATTTTTGT